AGGAATCCACAGAACCAGCCACAAGAAAAGGGCACAAACTGTGCAACCTGCTCCCAACTTCCTGTCCCACTCCTTCCTCAGGTGGGAGATGAACACACAATATGGCAGGACAGGGTCACATTCTAGAAGAGAAAACACTTCTCTCCTTCTCTCATGTGCCCAGCAGATGAAGAAGGAGCAGAAGAGCAGGAGGTGTGAGGTTGTTGCTGCCAGTGCTCCTTAGCCTGGGACAAGCAGAACCCCCTACCAGGCAGGCTACGGGTGCCCCCACTACAGGCACTTCTACCCAGAACATCTGTATGGGCTGCTGGGCCACTGCCATGCTCTGGAAATATAAATAGGTGTTAAATTCAACTCCATGTTGACAGTGTGACACGTCTCCCAGTAACCACAGCTCCAAAAGGAGCAGTGCTGAGCCACTCCAGCCCAGCAAGAAGGCAGGGAAGGGCACGGTGCCAGGCACAGGATGGCCTAGTGCCCAAGCATCTCATTTCCTTTGGAAGCAGCTGTTCTCACCCTGAAGCTTTCCTTCTCTTGCTCTCTCTGGACCTTCAGAAGCATCCCTGTGACCACTGCCATTGTGCTTCCCAGCCTGGCCAGGAATGGACTGACAGGGGCTGCCAGCTCAGGACCCTTACCTTGGTCTGCTTCCAAAGCAGTTTGTACTGGGAGGCTGGTGTCTGCTCTCCGTGGCTGCAGCCACACTGCTGGGGTCTCGTCCAGGCACCTGGGACCCTGAACGAGTGAAGAAAAAGTGAGTGAAGAAAATGACTGAAGCACTTACTACTTCTACCCTCCTCCCTTCCCTCTTTCCAGAAAGGAGACCCAAAGACACAACAGCTCCATGTACTGTGGGACAGACTCCCCAGACAAAAGGACTGCCTGCCCTTGTGTTGGGCTGCTCTCCTCTCCCACTGCTGTGTAGAGGCACAGCCCATCCCCAGAGCCCCCCATGGCTCTGAGCACAACACCAGGGAAGGGAGGCACAGGACCCTGCAGAACTGGCAGTGCCAGGGGAGCAGCTGCTTTTAAGATTCTCAGATTTCACAAGCTTCATCTCCCAGGAAGGAGTCAAAGGAAAGCAAGGCTCCAGGCCTTGCCCAGCACAAACTCTGCTCACTCCCCAGGCAGCCCTGACAGGTCAGACACCAGCCTGTGTCTCTCTGCACCCTCTGCCACGGGGAGCCCTTTTCTGAGTGGTTCTTTAAATACAGGAACCATTTCCCAGCCCACAGGGGGCAGCGGAAGGGGCTGTGCCACACAGCCAGCTGCTGGAGGGCCCAGAGAAGGGAGGCAGGTCCCATGGGAGCCTGTGCACCAGCCTGGGGCGGGCAGGGGCCGGAGCCTCACCTGGGAGCAGAGGCAGCTCCTGGCACCAGGACCCCAGCTCCACGCTCAGCCCCACGCCTGCCTAGCCGCGCACTCACCGCCAGGCACTCACCCTCTGTCCCGGCGCTGCCATTAGGCAGCCTTCCCAGATCAACAGCAGGCCCGTCCAGGAAAATCGTCAGCTCTCCGACGGAGACAACACTGCCTTTGTTCTCCATCTGCAGGTCCAGGGTCAGCTGCCTGTTCTCCACTGTGGGACACAGAGAAAGAGAAGCCATCACCACTAGGGATACCAGCCGTAATGGAGGATGACTCCAACACCCCAGCTCCCCCTTGGCATGGCATGTCAGCTGCCTGGGCCTCTCCAGACCTTCTCATGCCCCCAAAGGACAACGTGCCCACTCCCTCAGGGCCAGTTGTCCCAGTGAGCACCAGATGCATTGGCCCCACACCTACATGTGCCCACCAGCATGGCCAGCGGACACAGGCTAGCCCCAACAACAGCTCCTGAGGGAGACCCTCCTTCAGCCACCACTGCTCACAAACCAGGGTCCCACCACCCCTTACTCAAGGCTGTCATTGCCCCAGGGACCTTGGCTGTGACACAGATGGGACCACCATCACAGACAGCTCCAGAACCTGGGGCTGCAGGGGAGATCTTGGCAGGAAAACTGAGGGATTCAGACACAACACACAGGGTAAGGGTCCTGCACAAGGGTGACCACCAGCAGGTGCCTGGGACATGAAGCAGGCTGATGGCTACGTGCCCAGCAGTGCCTGGCCTGCTGCAGAGTAAGCAGCATCTTTCAGAATGCGGGGGATCCTCACACCACCTAAAAAAACCCAGTGAGCAGCAAAGGAAAATGTCAGGCACACCCCTCCATGCTCATCCCCACATTATCAGTTCCACTGATCACACCAGCATGAAGGGCCATCCCCAAACACACAGGAACTCTCCACTGCAGCATCAGATTGTCTTCACACGAGCTTCTGGAGAGGGTGCTCACAAAAACACCAACTGCAGAGCCACGTCCCCATGAGTGATGGGAGAACCTGGGGACCCCCAGTGCCCATGGGCTGGCCAGGCTCACAATGCCTGCTGGAGCCAGCAGGACTGAAACACCCAGCTTCACCACAGAGGGCCAGAAAAATGTGGCTGTGCCAGCCTGGGACAGCAGCCCAGCCTCTTCCTGACTCATTTGCTCAAATAATATTTTTATTATACACAGATTGCTCATGACACAACGGCACCATTTTTTAGCAACCTGCTTTGTCCCACCCCACTGTGGGGTTGGGGTTCAGTACCTGCCAGCAGGAGCAGGATGGGAACACACTCCCCACGGACCCCTCGCCCCATCTCTGGCCACAGAGTGAGGCAGGTTGGCGGGGTCCCAGGGCGTGAACTGCCACCCAAAAAGCACCTACAGCTCCTGGCTGCCAGCCCAGCACTTGCACCCAGAGCCCAGCACCATGGGGGCTGCAGTGAAGATAGGGCTGCAGGACAGGCTGAACTCCTGGATCTCATGAAAGCATGCCAGGATTTTAATGCCAAGGAGGCAGGTGTCCCCTTGGTACCCAGGGTCTGGGCATGGCAGGAGCACAGCACCAAGGCTGCAGCCCAACTCTGTCACTTGTTATCCACCCATCATCAGACCTGGGATTCTGCTCAGCCTGCTCTCACCCATCTGCCCAACAGAGCTGCTCTCAGTTTGCTTCCAAGGAGAACTGACCTCACAGACCGTTTTAAGAGCTCGAGATAGAAGATGCTAGTAAGCTCTGCCAAAAACCAGAACAAATCCAGACCCTGTTTCTCCCCGGCTGCTCCAAGCCATAGGAATCTGCATTTTTCGGAAGCCGTGCCCGCACACTCCGGGGGTCCCCTCATCCCCCCGTGCGAGCGCCCGGAGCCGGGCACGCGGCTCCCCCGGAGCTGCACAAGCCCTCATTGTGCAGGCAGCAGCACAGGAGCAAAGACAAGGTGTCTCCAAGTGGAGGATGTGAACATGAACCTCCCAGCCGGCTTCCTTCTCCTCCTCTCCACCTCCTTCAGCTTTTTTAAAGAAAATAAACACTGGCAGAACCTTCCATTCACTGTCCCAGCCCAGCACGCGGGACGCACAAAGGGACATTGCTGTTGCACCAACAGAGGGTCCCCTGAGCGGCTGAGCACAAAGGCTGCCTGTGTCCTGCCGTCAGCCAGAATGTCAGAGGGATTATTATTATTTTGGGAGGGGGTCGGGGGTGTGATTTGGTCCTGAATAAGGTCTCAGTTCAGCTACTTCCAGTGCCCCGCACGCGCCATCAGAGCTCCCATTTAGCAGAGGTGAGCTGGAATTCCCACCCAGCCCATTAAGCGGATTTACGGTTCCACCGAGCGGGGCTGGTGGCAGCCAGTGCGATAACAGCCCTGGGCTGGGCCCGGGACCCAGCCCCCCGGGACCCCCAGGAACCACACACAGCTGACAGCCCTGGGCACCAGAGAGCTGCAGGGTGGGAGGGAGCAGCCCCTCTGCCTCTCCCCTGGGTTGGGTGGCTCTGTCATCCAGGAAGATTTACAGACAGACGGATGGTTCTTCCCGCCCTCTCAGCTCCCCAAACCCTCTTCATGCAGTTCCACTGGATGTAAAGGTTGATTACCACTCAAATGGCTCCACATGACCAAAGCTGTATCCTCCATGGCCCCTTAAGAGCAGCCAGCACTGCCCCACAGAAGACAAGCACATCTCTGGGCTACCCTGAAGCCCCTTCTCCAGCCAGCAACCCCACAAATCCACAGAAGAACCAAATCCTGGAGCGAGAATCCTGCCCTGAAAGCCCCTGGCAATAGACAGAAAAAGCAGGGCATAAAATAACACCAGTGGGGCCCTTCCTGGCCCAGGGTGGGGGGCACTGGGCCCTGCCAGCTTCTCCTGGGTCTTGGGGTCTCTCAGCTCCCATAGAGCTCAGGGCAGGCAGGACTGGAGCCTGTGGAACCAGCCTCCCTGCTGGCTGGGGACAGAGCAGCCTCCCCTCCCAAGAGCCTGGAGGTGCCCAGGGCACAGGGACAATGCTGGTGGGCACTGTCCCATCAGCTCTGCAGGACACCTGAGACATGACACCCAAAAGGTGACACAGAGCAGGCACAGTCTGACCCTGCTGTGACTTGCTTGGATAACTAGTTTTGTGGGACACAGAGCCAGGAACTGTCACATCAGCTGCTTTGAGCCTTCACCTTTATGACTCCCTGCCAAAAACCCTTGCTGCTGGGCCATGCAGCAGCCCTCCTTGGACATCCCATCCATAATGTGGGGGCAGCTGCAGCTTTCCAGAGGTTTGGGGGCTCGCTGATGGCTTCCTGGAGGGTTCCCACAAGGCCACAGCTCCAGCAGGAGGGAAAGAAACAGCTCTGCAGGATCAGTAAAACCCGGGCATGTGGTGGCACTCAAGAAACAGGAGCGTGTTGGTATAGCGTGCAACCCGAGCAGCCAGCAATAAAAGCAAGAGCTTTCATCTATGAGCTGCAGCTGGGCCGGCTCCAGCGCCTGCACAGGCACCCACTGCTCAGCACGAGCAAAATCCAGTCAGGCCCAGTATCAGCTTCCACACAGACTGTGGCACGAGGCTGGCCAGGGACGTTCCTCCAGCCTCGTGGACCAGGAGCTCCCGGAGCCTGAGAACAAAGAGGTGCCTCTGCAGCAGCAAGGGGGCCAGGCCAGGGGGCTGTGCCATTGCAAATGAGCTGTTTCACAGGAGCCCTGGGAGCAGCTCATTTTCTGTGATTGAGCCCATTCTTACCCACCTCTCCATCTCCCTGGCCAATCCCCTCCAAAAGCAGGAGGCCCCTGCCTGCCAGAGGAGAGGCCCCACAGGCGCCTGCCAAGGCAGTGGGAAGCACAGCAAGCCTGAAAGCAAGGCTGGACCCACCCGGAGCAGCAGCTCCTGTCCAACAGCTCAAGCTGTTGGCTCTTGCAGACTCTCCCCATCCTTCTGGGAGCTCAGGCCTGACCGAACTCAACGCTGAGCTCTTTTTCCAAGCTCCAGACCTCAGAGCAGAGACTCTTCCACCTAAAGTGAGGTGTACTTGGCAGGAGAGACAACAGAAAGAACAGGGGAGCTCCAGGATCTTCCTAGCACACACTGCCACAGAGCCACCAGCAGAGAGAACACCACCCCTGCCCTAAGCAGAGCAACCAGAACAATTCTTCCACACCAAGTAGAACAACTCCAGGAACACAAATCAAAGGCCACAGCCACACCCGTGTATCAATAACTTACAGCAAACCTCACCAAAACTGCCACAAGAGGGTTGCAGGCCACATTAGGACATTCCATGTCTGACTCAGGATGGTTTGAAATCCTAAACGCTCTTTGTATGCCCTTGTGTGACCTGGTCTCTTCCCCAGGCACAGTGAAAGGGCTTTCCTCCTCTCGGCAGGCAAAGAGCCTTGAGGAAGGGTTCTTTCAGGGACACAAGCTCCCAGGGGACCTCTGGGGCACCAGCAGCAGCCTCTGGGCCGCTCAGAGCTGCCGCCAAGGGCCAAGCGGCTGCCAAGCAGAAGATGGGCAGACAGGAGCACACAGCACAGCAGCACCTTCCCTGGCAGGGCAGGCTCTGCAGCTTTAAGAGCCCTCCCTCCTGGCCCATGGTGTCAGGGAAAAATATGACACGTTTTTCTAGTGGATGTTAACAGACAAGCTAGAACAGCCAGTTGCCTTTTCCATTCATTTTCCACACAGCCCCCTGGGACGCCCGCTAATGAAAGAGCCGATTGTGCCCCTGCAGAGGAGCAGGCAGGTAGGGCGGGAGCAGCAGCGGCTCCTGGAGCCCAGCACAGCGCGAAAAAGCTGCAGGGGAGGGTGCCCTGGGGCAGAGACCCCCTCTGCAGGCTGACAGCCCCAGCGACAGGCAGCCCGGCTCACACCTCCTGGGCAGCTTTGCAAGGTGGAGGCAGCAGCGGAGCCCCGTGTCCCGGCAGGACAAGGTGCCGCCCCAGGGCGCCTCTGCCCGCCGTGGGGGCACTGCCCTGGCTTGGCAGGGGC